TATAAAGTTATTCGTTTTTGAATTACAACAAGATAAGAAAATCACTACATGAGAAATCGAGTGAATATCCAATGTTGTAAAAAAAATATTTGAATTTCAAATCCTCATAAAATTTAATTTGACTTTCTTATAGACCTTTTTTTTTTATAAAGGTAGATAAACTTATGAGGAATCTTGTATTAGGGGACGAGGTGGCCGAGCGGTCGACCACTGGGCGGCATTTTTCTCCGGGCAAGTCACGGTGTCCGGAGAACAAGTGCCGCCATCCCCCACTCCGGGGCATGGCAGAAACCTACGGGTGCCCCATTCGAAATTCTGCCAAAACACAAACACTCACGTGTAAACCCCCACCAACAAAAAACCCTACCATCACCACCTTACAACCTACTAACAGCTAATGGCCATAGATGCCGAGCTTAAGGATCAATAAAAAAAAAAAAATCTTGTATTACATTTTCAAAACTTAAGTTTAAAAAGAAAAATTTTTATGAATTCTTAACTCAAAATAATTTGCTAATTTTCGTGATTTTTCCATATATTGTAAATTTTTGGACTTTAAATGCTTATAAAAAAAAATGTGACTAAGGATTTTTAATATTTTTCAAAAGTCATTGTAACAATATAGTAATAGCCTTGTATTAAATTTTCAAGTATTTTTACTCAACAAATAAAGGTTTTTTGATATTCATAGAAAAATAAACTAATAAAATTGGAAACTGAAAATGTCCCTAAACAGTTCGAAACAAATCAAAATATTTCGAAAATTTTATCATGTATAGAAAATGAATATATAAACAATCAGTGAAAATTTCATGTATCTACGGTTTGTTTTAATGTTACACCAAAAACCAAAGTCGATTTTGAGTAAAAATTCCCGTTTTTCCTTAATTTTTCTTTTGTATTTTACGGCGCTTCTGAAAATTACTGGGAATTTTAAATTTTGACCTCATCAATGCACCAACAATATTCACTTATTCATCGAACAAGATACTGAAGTTGTAAATTGAAGCATTATTTTGACTACTCATCGTATACGCAGATACAAAAAAAAATTTAAAAAAAAAACACACATCATTGTAAAATCAAAACATTCATCTTTCCACTCAGGATCTTAAAAGTTCGACGGAGTGTATACATAATCGATAGATTTTTTAAAGGTAAGAAGGTCCTTTCGGCGCAATCGATATACTCTCCCATTACCTACCTACCTGCATAAATTATGATTGTTTGTTATGATAATTTGATAACCATGCTTCTACTAAATTTATACTAGCTAATATTCTAAAATATCAAAATATAAGTATTTATTATAGATTCATAGTAATGTTGTAGACTGTATTTAAAAAAATTAGTTCCAAAATATAAAAGTTACCAAATAATTATTTTTAAATTGTATAATATGAAATTATAGTTTATTGCACTGCATAAAAATACGTTTACAAGTCAGAAGTTCAGCACGCTCGCCGAGTGAGCTTTCATAACTAAAAACTTGTTATGTGAAGACGAATACTTAAATGGAAAAATTAATATCGATAATTGTAATTTGTAACTAATAACTATGTACTAGTAACTAACGAACGGTACGTTTAGAAACCTAAAACGGCTTAAATAGGGCTATATAGTTATTATCTATGTCTTAACATTCTTAACCAAAAACCAAACCCGATAATTAAACGCTCCTCTCAGAATCTAAAATATTATTCTCGATATTCAATCATAAATAATATTACATATGTGTGTTTATTTTATATTTTATACTCGATTATAATTTATAAAACAATCAGCTGAACTGTTGTTGTACACTTAGTATTGTCAAAAACTTATCATTGCACAAACTATAAAATTATGCAGGAATTCTGGTTGAATCTCATCTGAAATGGAGTACAACAGCACATCTAATCTATTAGTTTAAAAGACAAACATCCTATTAGAAACCACCGCGGTTCTAGTGTTTTACTCTCAGAATATAAATTGAAGCCAAGGTAGCTTAAGGTAGGTATGTAGGTACTATTTTGTATACATTACACAAAATCTATTCGTACTCTAAATTCAAGTAAACAAAAACGCAGTACAATTAATATCATCAGACATTCAGGGAAAATAATAATTTCATAATAGGTAGGTACCTAATAAATTACTATTAATAAGTAGTAACTATTTGGTATGGAATCAATTAGACAATAGTAATTAGAATTCGTCTCCATGACAATTGGTACTCATCTATTATCATAATTATAATAATATTTGAATATATATTATAAATATCGGTATTCGGTATTACAGGTGTTTGCAGGTGTTTTTAGATTATGTAATATAAACAATAATAATATTGTGTTAAGAGGACGTCGTACCAACAGGTTCGACTTACTAACGCATAATATACAAAAATTTCCAATTTTGTGTTGTTAGTTTAAATATTAGAGTGAATTTTTAAGTGAATTATGAGTATGTAAAATATTAATATACTAAAAAATGCTCATAATTCATTTAAAAAAAATATAGAGTGTAGACTTTATAGCTTATGTTACCCATAAAAATTAAATATGAACATATTGATCAAATCCACAATGAAAATAATACTATCGTTACTCTTGTTTTATAACTGAATTGATTCTGCTGGAAAATTAGGTATTTGCACCTGAAATAAATAGTTTAAGCAAAGGTAACGGGTTTTAAAAATAAATTTGGATACTTTAAAGTTTAAACCCAGAATATCTTAGTGGTGGGTGTTCCCCAGTTACCCTCAGTAGCTTTTTTCGGCATTTAAAAAATGTACTAGTAACCTTCAGCCAAATGTACCAGTTACCCTAACATATTTTATAAAAGGTTACAATAACAACCCTTAAAATAGGGTTGGTAAATATATATAGAAAAAATTCACATAATAATATAAGAATAAAAAAAATATTTATAATTATAATTATAATTATAAACGGTACCTATTCAATGTGCCATGTCAAAAATGGTATTACGGGTTGGTATTGTAATCGTATATATAATATGCGGGGGAAACTGATTTAAACTCATAGTTGGGTCCCTAACACTGGGGTTTAATCACAGGTAATATATTATACTCTGTTGAAGTTAAAAAACACAGTCCGGGGCGACCAGTTTTCGCCAGCGGCAGTTAGTCAATACCCATGGTTTGTCACCCCCACTGAATCAACGCCCCTGGCAAAAGCAATATTTTTAAATTGTATTTTATATTTAATATTACATATTTTTAATACATTTCATTTGTATTGTATATTTCTATTTAGATTACCTATATCATATTATTTTGTATTGGCAAAAAAAAAAATGTTTAACGCCATACCAGTGGTCAAAAATAGATTATATAGTTAGTTATAAGTGTATAGGTGTTAAAATGAGAAGGAAAACATTAGTTTAATGAAATATTTACCGAAAGAAATCCGAGATTCAACCAGTCTACTACGTAATATAATTTGGGACCCTGTAACTAGTATAGGAATTTTAATTTACAAATAATAGAGTATCTTAATTTTACAATTTTTTTTTGTCAAATTGGTATTACTGTTTTCCTATATTTCCCTCAAAGATGGTAGTTACTGCACCTTAGAGACTATAGTATAGAACGTCTTTGGTTAGTTGTGTTACAATCAATTTTGTTGGAAATCTAGATAAACAGTAACATCAAATTCAGAAAAAAAAAGTTGTTAGATGAGATACGTCATTTTTATTGGGGATGTCGTTATATTTTATAAATATCGAGCAATTATCAGGGATTCTTGTTCAGTTTTAAAAATATTATAAAATATTCGAATCATAGTTTTGTACTGAAAATTGATATCTTTTGTCACCCTTGATAATTATTTACGACTTGCATAATGTTTATTATTATTTATCATCAATCCTAATACAAAACGCACGTTTGATGGCTGATGATTTAATATTATCGGGTGTGACTCGAATTGAAATCATAAAACACATTTTACAATGATATATATTATAATAGATGTATATAACATTCATATCGATGTTTAGGGTCGTAGCATTGATGATTGACGCTTAGTCCGCGTCGCACAAACTGTTTTATAGTCTATGGTACTCGTCAGTTGCCCCTGAATAACCTAGTTCCTCTGATCTTCATACACGTGTATCAGAAAAAATCATAACGTTTAACAATCAAGCATATACTTTTAGGTACGTTCGATAATATATTTTGACTCTTCGCGACGAAATTCGCAATTGCATATACCCCACCGAATTACCCAACCCCGGATCAATATCGAATTTCACATTGGTATAACGCTACCATTATGTAGCGCGCTCTTGAGCACAAATATTAAACTATATTTACATTCGTATTACGACGAAGTACTACAGTATTAATTACTCGTCACTGTTTTTTGTAATAATAATATTTTTTTTTATTTTAATTATAACTACCTACTCGATAATTGTTTTTTATAGATTTTTGTACATACAATTATGCAGAAATGAAAATTTGGTTGACACACTGTACCGTGGTTATTGACGTTTGCCACAATCAGCTGGTCTAGCAACAACCCCACGCAACAAGCAACAACTTATTGATTAATATATATAACAAATATACACGGTGAACGGTGATCTCCGATTGGCTGTCCCGTCTCGCTATTATATTTATATATATATATATATATCTATATTAAATAAAATTGCGTATTTATACAACAGTATTCATTCGATCGGTGCATCGGAAGTACTAGGTTTGTAGTTGTTTCAGTGTACCTACTAAGTTTATAGTCGTTTCAATACTAAATTTATATTCGTTCCAGCATCTTTGTGCGTCAAACCTCTCACAACACACTTTCCGACTACCACAGTGCTAATTCATAAGTTTTACAAATTTCACGTAAATCACAGGGTGATTTGTGCATAGTGGAAATCAACGCGACCACGCCCATCGACCACACCATTAGTGTGCAATTTTCACTTAGTCAAATTGTGCAAGACCATTTTTAAAGGTACATAATATAACAGAACTAAAAACAATAATGACTTCTATCTCAGGATTCGTCTTCGTAAATGACATGGAGTTGGGGCGCAAATACGGGACGCGCGTGAATCATACGACCATAGAAATCAAGGATATAGACGGCACTTACACTGTGCTTTTAAAGTTGTTCCCGAATAATTTGAAATCCACGTACTTGCTTGACGACTTGGATAGCGTACAGTCTCACGAGAAGAAAGTCGTGCTGAAATTTTTGAAACCGAATCATGAGTTGCTTGTAATGTCCGACGATGTTGACAAAGTGACGAATTTCTTAAAGGATCTGAGGTTCCTCAACAAAAATCTGATCTTGAACATCGGTGAATCCTTTCTATCCAATGCTCTAAAAGCCTTCGGGTATATTAACAACAACCCCAACAGAATGCAAAATTTTAACCCAGCTCACCTGAGAATGATCGCCTTGGAAAACTGCTATTTACCACATTTGCCTGAAGGGATTGGACATTTAACGCTTTCGAGTCTTAGCCTGAATGGTAGTAGACTTAATATGTCAAAATACGGTCAAGATTTATTCTGGGATTGGATGACGAAGGATAATATAAGTACATCGTTGAATGTGTTGGAAATGAATTCGATCGGCTTAAACAAATTGCCGTTTGAAATCATTCATTTGAAACGTTTGCAAACATTGTCAGTGTCCAATAATAAATTGGTAAGTTTAATCTACCTTCCGCTTCTCATTCTATTTTGAACAATGTACGTAGTTATAGTTTTTTTGTTATTATCTATAAAACTAACCTTGTGACTTGTGTAAGTATTTTAACTTGGAATTTGGATAAGACAACAAAATATAAACAAAGAATTCATATGCAACCATGGGGGATCTATGTCACACATCACCACTCACCACCCCGAATTATACACCTTCCTATAATTTACCAGACCATTTTATATTAGGGGGAAATGTACGTATATAGATTTTGATTGTATGGATATATTTAAAACAACCTATTCCACCAATTTTAATATGTAAATTTAACCGAACCAGGAAAGAATGGGGAAAATATAAACTTCTAGAACACAAATCACAATTTGGTTTTACTTATATAGCCTTCCATAATAAATAATTAGGCATCATCGCATTATAAAAAAAAAATACTACATAATTTTTAACTATATGTAGGTATATTGACAATATTATTGAACGTCCTGAAAAAATAACTTTTTGGAGTGTGTATGGGCGGATGAAGTGAAACTTAATTTCAGGGGGATACGAAAAAAAATAGTCATATACACATGTTTCTATGGTTTAATTTGTATAAAAAAAAAATTGATGTCAGAAAAAATAATGATAAAAAGCTGGTTTCCCCGACCAGGATCGAACCCTCAACTGTCGTCAAAGAGTTTCACCCGAACTCTCATCGGAGCGTTTCGCTCTAGCGTAACGGCCACGCCCTTTTTTAGGGTTCCGTACAGTAAAACGGGTCCCTATTACTAAGGCTCCGCTGTCCGTCCGTCCGTTTGTCACCAGGCTTTGTAGGGGGGGGAGGGTCAAGATTGGTTTTAGAAACACTTATATAGTGGGGCGAGAATGCGTCAATAAAAACACGGGTGGCGACGCCTGACGATGCTTGTGAGTAGTGGACGAGTAGTGCAACATACATAGATGACTGGGGCCAATCACTACGCCACGCCAGGCTCCCATAATATTAATATACCTATGTAGGATTAATTATTAATTATTATTATTAATATTTATTTTAGTGTACTAGTTTGTTTTTTGATTTTGACTATAAAATTATAATTCAGTGATATAATTATGATGCGAATTGGTGATTGGCGTAATAATTGGGTTGTGTACGAGTTGATTCCCGAGTACCTGTTTACCTGCACTGATACCGTTGAGCTGACTCCCGGGTCATTATAAGAGGTACATACGAGTTGCTTTCCGGGTCATAAGGAGGTATGTAAGAGTTGATTCCCTGGTCATTATATATTATTTTCAATATTTAGTCAAATATTCAGCCTATTAGACTAACCCAAGAATCACCACTATAGTAGGGGCCAAACGAATGTGCGGTTGGTGGCTCCGCCCACTAGGCGATATCACACTGAATAGTGAGTAACAGCTGCTGGCAGTATATTTGAAAATAAAGTAACCGCGCTATTCATGTGTGAACGTTACCTAAAACTATGTGTTCTAATTAGTCGCCGGCAAAAGTAGGTGGAGCCACCAACCGCACATTCGTTTGGCCCCGACTCTAGGAGGTTGACTGACAAGTTTCTCAAAAATATTGTTCTCTTTATTATTTTCATATTTTGAAAATCATTAAATTTTTTGTTAAAAAAATTATTAGCAAAAAAATTTAGTAGGTAAAAAATTATTATTAAAAAAATTAAGTTATTTGGTAAAATGTATAAAACATTGTTTTTAAAAACTGGTATCTGGGAATGAGATTACCAGTATACCACGACATATAATGACAAGAGAATCATCTCGTAAATACCCCTTGGTGACCCGGGAATCAACTAACACATAAAGTAGGTCTCGGGAATCAACTCACCAATGTGAATAATTGTGTACCTATATAGTATATAAGATATTGTATACAATGCTTACCTATACTAATACACTATCGGGGCCGGATTAGCAGCTGTGGGGGAGTTGCGGCCAGCTGTGTTGTTTACGACTTTGGAGACCGGTGAATTGCGTCCCGATAACCTTTAATCTGTAGGTGTGTAGCGATCCGAAAGACCCGATTAAACGATGGGACGTTCAAAATCTGTCCCAAAACTTTACTCAAATTTATACCATCCATCAAATGGCCATTTACCACTTGTATTTTTTTTACTTCTTACCCAACAAGTCTAATACCACGTAAGTACAAGTAGTGTGTATTTCAACATTTAATTCTTCACTCCATATTAGTCGGTGTAACGTGCTAGCGTTATGAAGTTTTTATATTTTTTTAACTAGCTGGAATACTCAACGGCTAACAATATAATATTATGATTTCCGATACAAAAGACGTGACAGTCGTTGCAACACAAGTCTCTTCTCCTCACCCCAACAAATAACGCTGAACCGTTAAACGAATTATATAAAACAACATTTCATCATAATAATAGAAATAATAATTATAAAGCGACGTAACAAATACTTTACCCAAAAGAGATAATATAGTTATTATTTAATAGTTATCAGTGATAACTTATCACTTATCAATCTGAATTCTGAGATGAACAATTAATTCAAATATAATGCATACAAAACCAACAACAAATATGAGTGACAAAGAAGCATTATTAAGATAAAATATGACAAAGCTTGATTTTGTTAAATCTTAAAGTTTTATGTTTTTTCCAACCCAATAATCTATTTAAAAAATTTAAAAATTACGGCATACCTGGTCATCGGAAAAAAACATAAATAAAACAATAAAAATAAACACATTTTTGAGAGATCAGTTAGTCAACATCCCCGTTGTGTCTCCTGAGTAATGGTAGTTGTCATGTGGCTGCAATTCATACGTCTCTCTCATAGACCCGGGCCGCTACACGTACTTACTATTAATTTGGCCTTAAAATCACTAACACAGGGATTAAGATAGGTGCAAAAGGAATAATCTTTCACATAATATTCATATTATGGTATAGTACGAAATATATTAATATGTTGTTTTAATAGTTCCTTGGTATCAGATGTGGCTCTGATCCTTAATCTGGCTTTGCCAACTTTGAACGATAAACATTTTTTTTATACAAATACCTTCCTATAATATTATAATGTAATATCGATTTTACTTTAAATATAATATTATGTACCCATTACTTAAAAGTTAAAACTAACAATTATTTGAAATATTGAAAAAATAATTTATATACATTTGATAGGTTGTACCTACTACCTATTATACCTATATATATATTAGGTATATTAGATTAATAAAACATTAAAATTATGATTTATTTGAAACAATTACCTTTTGTTTTATTTTCATGAGACATAATAAGTATAGGTGTATAAATTAAAATACATTTTTTGAAATATAGAAAATAGACTGAAAGAAAGGCTTGTGTACAACAATTTCACATGGTGTAGCTAAGTACTTAGTAGTTACATACATATTATTTTTGAATGCTAGTTTAATATTCCTAAAATTTCTAACCTAACTTATTCACAATGAAAGTTTATCAAATAGATAAACAAATATACCTACTATATTTGAAAATAAAATGTGGAATAGGTATTGGTTTAGTTTTACTAAACATCGCTAATGAATTTTTTTTTTTTCAGACTCATTTACCTCATTTCATCGGCGAACTTCCACAACTCGTAACTCTAATGATTGATGGTAACTCGTTATGGTACTTTCCAGAAATCTTATTGGATAAAGCCTATAAGACTCTTCAAATTTTCAATAATCGATTTATCTATTTGAAGTTCAATAAGGAACAGCGCGGAAATGTTGAATTCACTGGTTTACAAAATCCGCCAAAATTATCGGATGTATCAGTTTTGTCCCTGATTAACAACAGTATAAAATTCAAGAGACAAGAAATACCTCGTCCCCTATGGAACAGTTATGATTTTGTATGCCGTTGTAGACTTTGTAAGAAGCTATTTGTATTCGATGAAAAAAATCAAAAGTTCACTTTTTCCATTCCAAAAACAGAGCAAATGGTGCGTATTGAAAGCATACATTGGCAATTTTTCAAGTGTCCTTCATGTGTGCGTTTAGAAAATATTAACGCTTAATTAATATTTTTTTTTTAAATCAAGTAGTTCTTATTATAGATTTTAAAACTCAGCTTTCATACCTATTAGCTGTTAGTGGCCACCCTTGTTGGCCTCCTGCAGATAAAACACGGAGCGCCAGTTCCCCCATCCAACCTACCTACTGTCGAATTTAAAATTACAAATTTTCAAATAACACTACAAAACATTTTACAAAATAAAAGAAAATATTATAATAAGCGTTTATTGTAATGGGCGTTATAAAAAATAACTTATTATGTAATCTGTTAATACAGGTGGGAAACATAATTTAAAATGATATAATATTATGTTCTTATCGGTTATCAGTTAACTATATATTTTCTGAAAAATAACAAATAGGTACAATAAAAACTAAAGTTTACTATATGTAGTTAAGTAATATTGAAGTGGCCAGTAGGTAGGAAAATAGGTTCAAACTTCCAATCATAAATTAAAATATCTCAATATTGTTACCTACAATATGAGATTAATACACCAAAGAATATTTTTAAGCCATTTTTGCTTCTTAGTATGACGTCTTAACCGTTTCAATTTTTTATTCTATTTGGAAGTGTAGTTTTTGGCCTATACCTAAAAATTATCGATTTCGAAGTTCATCTAACGGGAATATCCTTAACACAGGATTTATTTACCTATAGGTCCTTTATTTTATTTTTATTTTCTCTTTGTTATTTCATTAACGTATTGTTGTTTACGTGAACTGGTTGTGTAATAAAAAAAAAAATGTATCTAGCACAATAGACATTTGAAAAGTAAATCTGCTTGCTGCCAATAATATCACAATAATTTCCTATACAAATGTATCTAACAAAATTAGATTTCTCTTTTAGAAATTAAAATCAAATTGTGGCTTGAATAGTGAATACGCTCTAAAATATAATATTGGTTGTACTGTGGGGCTGGTGGTATTTTCGGTATACCACTAGTCACTACTTACCGTTATTTAAAAAATACCAGTATCCAGTATTTTCGGTATTTTAGAATACCGGTATTCCGTGATTCGGTAACTATACCGTTGTTAACAAAAATACCATGCCACAGTAATTACCGAAATTAATTAATTACATTCAATATCTCAACATTTATATAATCATAATAATTACAAACATAATTTATAAAATAGATGTAAAATTTTCCTAGGTTGAAACATTTCTAAATTCATCGAAAATACTGATTACAGAGTTACGGTGTCTTCGGTAATTATTGAAAATAGGTACCATATAACTCTTAGTAAACAATTACCAGATACCCGTATCAAAATTTGAAATACCTACCGCTAGCCCTAAGCATTCAACCAGTTTAGATTTTTATATTACCTATAAGTAATATTGTGTTTTAATTTGTATATTATAGCTATGCCTATGTTTAAATGTTGAATTGTTTGGTCTTTTATTATTAACGTATTAACAATGCCAAGACTAAATAAACAGGCATGTCAGCAAGCTCGAGTACTTTTCCTATCAACCTGCATGTGTTTAATAAATATATTATGCTGTCTTATTATTTATTTTTAACACATTTTTTAATAATTGTATTGCTCATATTGTACGCATGCATAGATTGAAAACTTTTAGTGCCGAACCCTACTCGTGAGAAAGCATATCTAAACAAATTTATCGTAACAAAATATTATAATATATTATAACTCGATATTAATTTAGTCTAATGAGTATATTAATGTAATCAATTACTATACTACTATAATAGTACAATACTAACCTTGATCGGAATTTAACGTTCAAGTCTGTTTGAGACTTACCCAAATTGGTGTTGCATCTACGACAGTTTTTTATGTGTGTATTAATATTTACTTGCATTATTCCAAATAAAACATTATTATATTTAAGTAAAGTAATAAGTAATTGAGATATTTATAAGAACAAGGCATAAAATTACTGAGCTAACCGTAGATATATAAAACAACTAGATAGCCGACTTGATGAGTAGGGAAGCCATATTATGTCAAGAGGTGAAAATACGACTGATTAATCCATGACATGTATGACTATGTCATGGAATATAATATTGTTTTATGGTAAAAACCACGAACCAAGATATATTATATCTTGGTTCGTGGTAAAAACAACTATTGACCTATTATATTAAAAGATGATTCTGTGGTTTGTAATTATCATTAATCACTGTGACACTGTTTGGCTGTTATTATATAATTCATGGATAAATTAAATTATTCATGGATCAATCAATTTAATTTTACCCTCTTGACTTATGGCTGCCAGACTTCATAGGTCTTATGACTTATGAGGCTGTAACACGAGTCCGCTATCTAGTTATTTTATATATCTATGGAGTTAATTTAACCAATATGTATAAATGTATTAAGTAGATAAAACATTTATATGTATCTTCTATTCAAAAAATTAAGAACCATAGTATACAAAATAGTATAATAAAGGTGCCCACTTAATAAAAATTATATTTAATGTATCTTAATATTCTAACATTGTTTTTTAAGATTTTTTTAATTTTTTTTTTTGCTTCGGTCTATAAGGTATTACGTAATTTATGTGATTTGTTTAATTTATTTATTTTGGATTATATACTTGTTATAACTTCCTTAACTTTATTAATGAACCATATTATGTACTTTTAATATTATTTTTATCACTATAATGTAAATGTATAAACTCTAATGTCTAACGAAAACCATAAACCACATGTAGGTATTGAAATGTTTAAAACTTGGATTGTACCTAACTACCTAGGTACGTTAATTTAAATAAATAATTTTAATTTCATATCTTTGAATTTGTTTTAAAAGATTGGATGGGTAGTAATTATTATCATAACTCTCTAAAAATAAAAATTTCAATAAATCTATTACAGTTATACCTAATTAAATATATATTATAAGCTGCATCGATCCATCGATTTTTTACCAATCGTTTCACAATGTACAATGGCAGATTAATCTCAAGTTTCAAATTTTAAAAACCAGTTCAAGTTTTTAAATATAATTTTAAAATCGGTCCCAAGTAACATAAAGACGAATTAAAAACTATTTTTCGAATTACTATCGCATCTTTATGTTAGTTTATTTTAAATACCACAGGTATAAATTATTACATATTAATAGAAACTTAAATCACCAATCAATTTTGTTATTAAATATAATACCTCAAATATAATATACAGTGACCGTGTCCCGTGTTTGGGTCCACTGGGCACTGACTAGGTTCGTTCTTGTGCGTTTGACGTGCTCCCGGGTTCAAAGACATCCAATACCTACCTACTCAGGTCAATATAATCATTTACTGTTCATAAAAACAAACCTCAATACATATTATGTTCTATAATATGCAAAACGCTCAATATCTTAAAAAACATCGCTCCAAAAACCATATTGTATTTTCTAATTTGTTGTTTTATGTTTTTATTGTTAACTATATATCACTACTACATATTTATGCATTTGTATAACTGTTCAAGCCTAAGCGGAACCACCGCCATAATCAGTATTGTTTACCTAAATATATTGGTATATATTATATTATTTTTTGTGAACATTAATTTTAAGCTAAACAAATTATTATTACATTATTCACTAAAAAAATTTAATTGTCTTACCTATTACTAAAGGTAACTATAACGTTTAATGAACGAACTAATAAATAATATTAGGTATATTATTATACTTAAATACTTAGGTATTCGTTTCGTTCAATAAACATTCTTTAAAAATATATTGGTATGGAAAAATTAGCATATAGTTACAAACAAGTCATATTATAATCTTTGTGTGTTGTGTCAATTACTAATTACTATAATCGTGATTTTTTTCAACTTTTAATTGTTATAAAAAATTGCAAAATTGCAAAACAAAAATGTAAAATGGTTGGATTAGCCGCCTAAACCATTATATTATAATATAAGCCAAATTCTAAGTACTTAGAAGTACTCATGATCCTAATACTTATATTCTCTATACCCAGAACAATCTCGCCATAACTGATATACCTGTAATATGATATAAACCCTAAACAATTTATACTTAACAATATGTGTGATTTAATAAAATATAGTACAAATTACAAACGCGTATTGTTTGTTGGATTCCTTACAAATATAGAAGAATTCTGTATCGAGTGTAATGCGTCAATGACATGTTTCTTTCCACCAGCGTTCATCATCTTTAGTGCTTAAGTGCCTAACTTATATAAGTAGTCAGTGTCAACAGGTTAGTTTTGAAGGATTGACCTGCGCAGTCTGCTCAAATTGTGATATTAAGTAATGTCAGCCAATGCTTTAATGACCACACTCGTTGTTGGTTAAGATCACATTGGTTTATTAAAATATATATGAGAATTTCAATATTAACACTCAATGTTTCACACTAATAGAGGTAATATTTGAGGATATACGTCAATGGTGAATTTGCAATTTATAGCCCTACCCTGACCAACAGGACCGTTGCGAAGGGGGGGCGACCGGTGCCAACGCTCAAGGCGCAATTTCCAAGAGGTCGCCAACATGAACATTTATTGTTTAAAACTCAACGTAATTTATGTTCATTGATGGTAATAGTGATTGGTTAATAATGATTGGTGGAAAATAATTTAAAATAATATTATTTTTCGTATAAAACAAATCATAGGTACTAATGGTACTATCATCATTATCTATGGCACATTTTTACACTCAGGAATAATTCTATCTCAGTTTTGTACGTGAATACAACCATACGATATTATGTTCAATCTTTATTACATTTATAGTATTATTCGGAGCATAGGTACTAGTTGAGTCCCGGAAAAAAAGATATTTTCCTTCCCATTTTTACAGACATATTACTGTCTAATAACATCTAGTTATTATAGGTAGGGTTAAAAATATTTTTTTTCTAATGTATACAATTTTATTTTCGGGATTTACAATCGTTGTCTAGTTGTTAATAGTTAATAAGTTAATATTTGGGCTGACATTTATAAGATACTGATTTAAGAAATTAATTTTTCCCA